TTTTAATTAAAAGTTTAATTTTTTTTTTTTTTTTAACATTTCTTCAATTAGTGTTGGGCAGGGTGCCATGGTATACGTGTGGAGCTCAGAAGGCAACTTGCAGAATCGGTTCACATCTTCTAACATGCAGGTCTCAGGGATTGAACTCAGGTCCTCAAGCTTGGCAGTATACACCTTTACCCACTGAGCCTGGGGTTACAGCTTCTCTCTTACCCTTGAAAGGTGGTTTGCAGGACAAAGGCTTCTAGGTGGGCCGGTTTCTCTCTTTGAGCTCTGTGTACCTCCCACTCCCTTCCGGATCTCCAGGCTTAGGAGAAAATAGTTCACTGTGCTTCTTCCTGTAGCTCTACAGTTCAGTCCCCCACCCCACCCCACCCCCACCTTTGGCGTCCTTTAAGATTTCTCTTTGTTCTGGGTTTTCTGCAGTTTGAATGCGATATGATTGTGTAGAGTCTGTTATTTACAAGTCCGTATGCTTATTAGACACCCACATCTATCTTTTGGTATCTTTTACACATTTTAGAAGACTTGACCATTTTTACCTCAGATATTTCTTCTCCTTTCTCACTTTATTCTCTTTCTGGTTCGCAATTCTCATGTACGAGAGCTTTTTGAAATGTCCTTAGCTGTCCCCTGGCTTGTTTGTGCCTGATTTTTATCCCTCTTTGTGGGTTAGTCTTGAAGCACACAGATGATATTTCCTCAGGAGCGTTTAGTCTTAGGCACTCATCTGATGGCTGGAGAGATGGCTCAGAGGTCCAGAGGACCAAGGTTTGCTTCACAGAGCTCCCACGGTGGCTCACCACTGTCTAGGTGACTCCAGTTTCATCTCTTCTGCATCCCAGGCACCAGGCATGCATGTGATGTACAGATATGCATGCAGGCGAAACACCCATACGTAAATGAGCATAAAATAAGATCACCCGGCACATTTTTATTTCTGTTACAATGCTTTTTGTTTCTACATAAGTTTTATTTACATGTATTTACTTGTGTGTCATAGTGTGTGTGTGTGTGTGTGTGTGTGTGTGAGAAGGGGAGGTTCAGAGGACAGCTTGTGGGAGTCAGCTCTCCCTTTTCCGTATGTGGATCCCGGAGGTTGAATTCAGGTTGTCAGGCTAGATGGAGAATATCTTTTCCTAATGGGGTGTCTCATCAGTCCTCTATTGTATCTTTTAATTTTGTTTTGTTTTGTGTTTATTTCTCTGGCCTGGAACTCACCAAGTAGGCTGGGCTAGCTGGCTAGAGAACCCCACAGATCCGCCTGTCTCTCTCCCTTTCCAGTACTGGAATTATAGGTGTATGCCATCATGCCTGGGTTTCCCCCCTGGGCTCTGGGACTGAACTCAGAGCTTCCTCCTCGCAAGGGGAGCACTTACTCACCACACTGTCTCTAGAACCCCTTTAATTTGCCTTTGCAAAGACTGTTTTGCTGGGGAAGGGAGTCAGGGCCTCCCCCAGGCTTGGCCTTCAACTCCTCTATCCGACAGCTTCGTCTGTGTTTACATCGCCCATCTCTTCCCCCACAGTTCCCTGTTCACCACGGGAGTCTCAACGTCTGAATCATCGCTTTCCCCAGTTCCCCGCCCCACAGCTCTAGCAAATGTGTCATGGCAGTTTGGCCTCTTCAGTCAGACTTTTCTTCAAACCTTGCTCTGTGCCTCGGTTTGCTTGTTTGTTTGTTTTGTTTCGGAAAGCAGATGTGATGTCCTGGACAACACAAACTGAGGGACACAGAGCTTCGGGGTGAGGACATAATATGAGTCTAGTTAGGGTTTAGCATCCGATGAGGTGCTAGAGGCCTGAAGCACCCACCGGTGTCTACATAGCTGCTCCTTGTTGCCTGAGTTCCTCACTTGCTTCTCCTCAGACAGAGGGTGTCCTGCAGCATACGCAGCTGTCACCTGCTGCTACACTGGAGCCTGCTGATGGGGTAGAGGGGAGGTCTATAGCCCTATGCCCCTGGCTGTGGCCCTCATACTGTGTCTGAGGTGACTGTATTCTTAATGAGTCATCAATGTAAAGGGATGCCTTCTCTCCCTCATGGTGAGTCTCAAAGCCCTTTCTCCTGGAGACACAGCCTGCTTCAGGGTCCTGACAGCCCTCTTCCTTCCGTCTGCCAGAACCACGATGGGGCTTCCCTGAGATCCTGGATGGGTTCCTGGAGGTAAACTTGCAAGAGCATGACCCTAGGGCTGGAGAGATGGCTCAGAGGTTAAGAGCACCGACTGCTCTTCCAGAGGTCCTGAGTTCAATTCCCAGCAACCACAGGGTGGCTCACAACCACTTGTAATGAGATCTGGCACCCTCTTCTGTATACATAATAAATAAATACATCTTTTAAAAAAAAGAGCATGACCCTAAGATTGTGCCACACATAGCCTCTCACTCATATTCATCCACATCCAGCCTCCAGGAGTTTCCCCAAGTGGTGTATTATCATTACCCTGTTCTGACCACCAGCCTGAGACAAGGGAGCTGTGACCATATCCTTCCCTGCCTGTGCCTTCATTTCCCAGGGGCTCTGAGGTTGCTGGGCACTTTGGGTGGCCACCCAACTCCCAAGACCACGTTTTCCAGACTCCTATTCAGCCATCTATGTTCAGTTCAGTCTATAATAGATACTGACTGGAGCAGGAGGAGGCAGAAGAGGGGGTGTTCTTCTCCTGCTGCCTGCCCCCCCCCATCATCTGACAGTGGCTGTCTCCCCCTCTCCCTCCTGAGGGTCCAGCTACAGCTGTTGGTCATAGCTTCTGGTCTCTAGCCACCTCCTGACACCAGGGACTTTGTGGACCACCACTGCTGTCGCAAAACTCAGTGTTGTCTCGCTGTCCTACCCGGTGCGGCTTCTTCAACCTCTCTGCCATCAGCTGTGTGTTAAATATGCTCACTTCTAAATACTTAGAGAGGAGATGTTTGGTCTCAAATGAAGACCTTGACTCATCGCTACCACTCCAACCCCCTTTCGGGCTCCAACCACAGCTCTGTGGAATCCAAGCAACACTAACCACACTAAGCAACGCTGGCAGACAGACAGACTGACACAGGACAGTTCACAGAGACGGACGGAGAATGGGTATCTGAGTTCGGTGTTGAAGACTGAGTGTGTGAGACAGAACTGATAGGGTGGGTACCCCAGGGAGAAGCCAGTGCTGGGATACTCTTGGGAAAGTGCCAGGGGTATGGGTGTTATGGAAGTCCGGGTCCATGAGGCAGTGTGTATGTGCGTTCTTGGGGTGAAGCCGAGACAAGTGCTGCGGATGGAACCGTGGACACCTATCCAGGAGATACACCCGTTAGGGCTTCCTATGTAGAAAGGACTGAGGCCATGGGTTCTGGGCTGCGGGTGGAGAGTTCCATGGCCAGGGCAAGACAGAAGCCTGGGCAGAGCCAAAGATGGACTGGGGTGTTGGCGCCTCTTCCCGCCCACCCCAGGCTCAGGCTTCACTTCTTGTGAGGTCCCGGGCAACACCACCTGTCTTTTGCATCACACCTCCATTTTTAAACACTCTGCTCAAGTTCCTGTCCGGTCCAGAGAGAGGTGGGACTACAACCCAGGAGTCCCTGCCTTGGGCTTTGGGATTCTTGCTCCTTGGCGGCTAAGTAGCGCCCCAAGTGAGGAAGCTGAGACTCAGAGGTGGAACTGTGAAACCGGGCAACCAGGGCTTCCCAGAGGCCAGGCCACTGCCCTTGTTGGAAAGGCACGGGGCCAGGAGGAGGGGGCTGCCCGAAGAGCGGCAGCCAGGCTGTGCCGCGCTTCTCCAGTCCTGCAGAGTGCTCCCAAGCAGAGGTGACCCCCAGAGAGAGGAGTCCCCGATTCGAGGCCTGCGGGACAAGTCCACGGGCTTCCCCTCGAGCGCTCGGGAGGGTGCAGGCAAGGCGGGAGGCGGGCGCTCGGGGGTGCGGCCCTCGGCTCCTGGGGGGCGCCTCGGAGGGGCTGGCTGGCCTTCTACTTCTCCCTCCCTCTGCAGACCGCCGGGCGGATGGCGGGGCGACGGGCTGTGGCCGGGATCGGGCCCGGGGCGCTGCTGGCTCTGCGTGTTCTGCTGGCCGCCGCACACCCGCAGTGCCTGGACTTCAGGCCGCCCTTCCGGCCGCCGCAGCCGCTGAGCTTCTGCGTGCAGTACTCCTCCTTCGGCTGCTGCACCGCGGAGCAGGACGCGGAGCTGGCCCGGCGCTTCCGGGCCCTGGAGACCCGCTTGGACGCCGGGGTGTGGGCGACGTGTGCCGGCTACGCGCTGGATCTGCTGTGCCAGGTGAACGGGCTCGCGGCGGCGGGGCACGCGGGGCCCTGGTCCCTGGGAGGGGCGGGGGGGGGGCGGAGCAGCGATGGCATCCCCATAAGGGCGAGACTCAGGAGTGGGTCACGGATTTTGAGGCAATGGCAACCCCACAGAGGTGAGGGCTAGGAGTGGGTACCGGACTTTGGAGCTTGGATGTCCGAGAGGGAGTGCTTGGTACCAGGATGGAAGACCAGGCATCCCAGGACATCTCTTGTTATTCATTTGCTTTGCAAAGATGTTGGGACTTTTAGGGGCCTCTCAAAGACTAGAGACTCCTATTCTTTGGGATGCTCTGGAATCTGCCCCCAGTGCCCCACCTCGGAGAGCCCTGCCCCTTTCAGGTACCAGGGTGAGGTCTTTGCTAGGCCGAGGAAGGCAGGATGCAAAGAGGATGTGACCAAAATATGGGGCGTGGCTGTGTGGGCAGTCTGACCCTTCCTCAGTCAGACCAGTCAGACTTAATGAGCAGTCTGAGGGCCCATTTCTCCGGGCCAGGGTGAACCAAGGCCTGTAGGGTTTGTACAGCCACCTTTCTGTTCTGCCACTGACCCGGCTCCTTACCTGGGAGAGGCTCTCCCCAGACCCATCTCATCTCCTCTCTGATGGTGGAACCCTTACTTTGATCCACGCTGAACTACCATTTTCCTCTTGTGAATGTCGAGTCTCTGACCACAACCCCCTGTGTCTCCTCTGCGCAACTGATCTGATCTCAGGAATGCCAGCCTGTCAGGGAAAACCCAAGGCTGACCCCCTAACCAAGGACTCTGAAGTCAAGGGGTTCATCAGTGGAAGGGCCCCCACCAGGCAGTACAAAGTTCCAGTCCCAGCCAGCAGGGGGCAGGCTAGAGGAGCTAGATAAAGGGACTGATATCACAGTCTCTCTCCTTGCTTGGGAACTTGAGAGGCTCGTGGTCGTCTTTCAGCTACATTATCTTTAGAGCAGGGACAGATTTCTAGCCCGACCTCATGCCGTGGAGATTAAATGACACAGATAGAGTGGTTCAGTTGGGGTTTGTAGGTGAATTCCTCTATTGTTTACTTGTTGGTTCAGGGAGAGTGTGAGGACCAGGGGCCACTTCAGGAAAGGTGGGCACTTGTCCAGGGGTGACATGGCCCAGTGGTGGGTCTTCGGACCACACTCAGTGCCCCTGTGAGAGGGCACCTGGGTGCTGGGAGGTGAGGAGAGGGGGTAGAGAAAGCACGGTGCTCTAGGGTGTTCTCATGTTGTAGCTACCAAGCTCCCACTTTGTGTATCTCAAGAGAACCAGAGGGTATGGTGGACCACCCGCCTCCCTCCCCAGCCTGGAACTCCACCCGAACAGGCCCATGGTCTCCCTGCAGCACCCAGGTCAATAGCAGAGTTCCTATGCCCAGGCCATGCTTGCTTAGAGGGTACTCACCATGTGCTGGGCTCAGCATGGCAAAGAAGATGGACAGGACCAGGGAGGAGGAAGGAGCCCATCCTGAGGCTGTTTGCTGGCAGGAGGCATCTCTTTTTCCTTGGGAACCTGCCCAAAATGGCCTGGCCTGAGCAGCCTGTGGTAGAGCGTCAGCTCATACCTCCAGTAAGGCGTCTCTGGGGGTGACCTCATGTCTGGACTGAGCTTGCATCAGCCGGCCTGCCAAGGCTGTGGCATGGTCTCCCTGAGGAGGTCCTGGGAGAACGTGGGAGCACCGTCCCCACCGCCACCAATATCTCAAGGAGCCTTACCTTCAGGTTTCCGTCAAGGATCATGCAGGACTTGCAGCTGTCTTGCGGAGGCAGGAGGCTCTTTCCAGAGGCTTTGCCCTCCTCTGGGGAAATATATCAGGCAATGGCTGCACACGGCAACTTCACTGTGGCTGGTGTGTAGCTCACATGTGGTTAACCTCTCTGTAGCTGGATGCATGAGGTCATCAATGGAGTTATTGAATAGTGATATGGGATGGTGCTTAACAGACTCATGCACTCAGCAGACACTTCTCTGGGGCCAGCGAGGCGTTGGTTCTCTGCTTCTGGGCCGAGGCAGTTGGCAAGTCACAGACATAGCCTCCAAAGCCTCGACATTCATTCCAGGAGATAGACAGACAACCAAGAGACGTCCCCAAGGTACCAGGGCAAGTAGCGAAAAGCCCTCAGACATCTGGGACTGACTGGGAGAGTGACCATTGAGTTACTCCCTCGGGGTTCATCTTGTGGGAACATTTACTGAACAAACACCTGGCATCTCAGTTCATTGCTCCCAACAACTGTAAGAGGTTGGAGTTCTTTCCTCATTTTGTAGATGGGAACACAGGCACGGAGAGGTAAGGAGTTTACCAAACATCACACATGGAACTTAAGCACTGGCTCCAAAGCCCTTCCTGTAGCCAAACTGTGTGCTGGATCCTGGGACGCCTGCCCCCAAGGGCCCGGCAGTCTGTGGGGTGGACAGGTAGGCAAAGCGATAATTGAGTCATGGCCAGGCAGAGCAGCCAGGCCACCTCTGGCGAAGCAGAGGTGATGGCAGGAGAGGACAGTTGCTTCTGGAAGTGACGGATTACCAGGTGACAAATCTGTGTGAGTCAGAGATAGAGTGTCCTGAGCATCCCAGGGGCAGGAGCCTACCCCGGGGAAAGGAGGAAGGAGCAGACTTGTGGGTTGGGCCTTGCATCATGAAGAGGAGTTTGCCAGATGTGGAAGTGAGGGAGGAAGGAACATCCCACAGAGGGAACATTGTGTACAAACCCAGTCTTCCTGGCAGGGTGCAGAGGGGGGGTGTTAAGAAGCCTTGGGACTTGAGGGCATGAGTCACGAGTGTCAGTAACTGGTCTGTGGCAACCTTGGGGCCATCAGGTGGCAGGCACTTTGCTCCTGTGGGTGTCTTGCTGCCTAACCCCGGACATGAGGTCCAGTGACTGTCCACCCTCTCTGCCAGCAGCAACTACTGGCTCCTTTTACTGATTTACTAATTAGTCATTTACTAATTCTGGGTGGCTCTGGTCTTGTGTGCGAGAAAGAATACAGAGACCGCATGCAAGATGCTGCTAGCCTCAGTGGCTACTGTGTGGGTAGACGCCAAGGTCCTCACCAGGTCCCCAGATCCCCTGTGCCCTCCATGTGTTCTGGGTAAGTTTTCACAAGGAAAGGGCTATGAGGTAATAGCCAAAGAGATCGGAGCAATAGCCACGACTAGCTTTAGCTTACCATCAGCAGGGCTATCAGGTTCTATCCCATCTCTACTGTGTCTTTGGAGCCAAGGCCAGTGCCTGGTAGTCTGCGCTCTGCTGAGTGAAATGTTGGTGGAAAGTGTTGGTGGTGGTTGCGTGAAGTGTTGGTGTAAAGAACACAAGGCTGGCTGTCATAGAGCTTGGTGGTGAGTCCTGGTCTGGCCAGTTCTTGGCATGTGGCTGTTGTCAGCCTAAGTCCCTCACATGTAACACTAGCGTCACAGTGACTGCCCTGTGAAGCGTGTATGTATCCCTCTCTGGACTCCCCTTGGTGGCTGCTGGCCCACGATAGCATCTAGAGGATCACTGGAGAGCTGGCCCAGCCCAGAGTCAGAGGCTTGGCTATCGGGCCTGTCACACACAGAACGCAGAGTGCAGCATATGAAAGATGATGAGGACAGCGACTGCTCAGAGATGCCAAGAACACACAGGACCCTTAGCTTGTCAGGTGGGACTCAGCCCACACCGACAGAGGGACCAGCGGACAGGCCGTGTAGTGACTGAAGCTGTAACAGTGGGGAGCCCTTGGCCTGGGGTTAGAGCACTGTGCTGAGGTGAGCTGTCCTCTTACTTTCTGCTGAGGTGTCTGCTACAGCCCAGCCTGGTTTCCCGGTGAGAACAGGCAGTGCATAGCCGCCCTTGTCTTCTCTGTCTAGGACTTGCATCCCTAAGGCCTCTGGTGATCCCGAACTGAGCTCTGGGATTGGGGGGAGTGGCAACAAGGGTCTTTCACACCACCAGAGAAAAGTAACCACAGTGTGAAGGACTCCACAGAGGTTCCCAAGGAGCCTGGGTTTTACAGAGTTTCGCTGCAGGCCCGGCGGGGAGATGGTCTGGGAAGGGGCCATGTGACGGACTCCAACAGGACCAGCTGTACGGCAGAACTGTCTAGGGGAGATGAGGATGTGTTACCCATCCACACACTCCTGTTTGTGGTTGTGGGCTTGCTCTCTGAGGCACTAACTCTCCTCCCACATGGCGCCCACGGGGGCCCTGAGTGAGGTCCATAGCATCTCACTAATGGGGAAGCCTGTACGGCAGAAAAAAGTGATGAGTTCTACCCCAAGGCAGAGCTGGGGAAAGGACCCTGTAAGCCTTTCTGATCAGGCGGTGCCCAAGGAAAAGCATCGCTCTTGCAGACTTCTGTGTCAATAGCTGCAGTGAGGACAGTTCCAGGGTCCTGCTGGAAGGAGTTGAGTCTGAGGGCAGGATAGATGGCCCGGGGTATCCTGGGAGACATAGGCTTGGGCCTCCCCACACACACGCACAGGTCCTGTGTACATGTTGGCTGTCTGGTTACGGAGAGAGTAGGGTGGATCTGAGAAGACAAACTCAGATGCCTCCATATGCTACTAACCTGAGCGTATTACTGATAACACTGGGGGCCCTGAGCCTCAGTTTCCCAGCCCTGTGAAGTACTCAGAAACATTAAGTGAATAATAGATGTAGGAATGTTTTGATAAAGGTACACTGAGGTGGCCAGAAGGCTGGCAAGGAAGAATATTTTTCACAGTCCCCTCACCATTTGCTATGACCTACTGTGGCCTGGGTTTATGTGAGGGTCTGGGATATAGCAGTGAAATTAAAAAATTCCTGCTCTGATAGAACGCCCATTCTGGAAAAAAAAAAAAAGACAATACGCAAAGAGAATATTATGTTTTGGTTTAATGAAGGCTAACAGTAAGTTTTGGGGGGCTTTGTTTTTCTAAGTAGTCAGAGGCCTGGAAGTAATGGCGGGGAGGTCAGCTCTTCGGAGGTGACCCTTGGATGAGGACACAAAAGCAAATGAGTAGATTGTGCAGGTGTGTGCGGGCTCCCCTCCTGGCGTCTCTGAGCCCTCCTGTCTCTACAGGAATGCTCACCCTACGCAGCCCACCTCTATGATGCCGAGGACCCGGCCACCCCGCTGCGGACAATACCCGGCCTATGCGAGGATTATTGCCTGGACATGTGGCAGACCTGCCGAGGCCTCTTTCGACACCTCTCCCCTGACCGTGAGCTCTGGGCCCTGGAGAACCACAGGGCCAAGCTGTGCCGCTACCTGTCCCTAGATGACACCGATTACTGTTTCCCAAGCCTGCTTGTCAACGAGAACCTGAACTCAAACCTGGGCCGTGTGGTGGCTGATGCCAAAGGCTGCCTGCAGCTGTGTCTGGAGGAGGTGGCCAATGGGCTTCGCAACCCCGTTGCCATGGTACACGCCGGGGATGGCAGCCACCGCTTCTTCGTGGCAGAGCAGGTGGGGCTGGTGTGGGCCTACCTGCCTGACCGCTCTCGCCTGGAGAAGCCCTTCCTGAATGTGAGCCAAGCAGTGCTTACGTCACCCTGGGAAGGGGATGAGCGGGGCTTCCTGGGCCTCGCCTTCCACCCCCACTTCCCACATCCCAGCAAGCTCTATGTCTACTACTCTGTGGGGGTCGGCTTCCGAGAGTGGATCCGCATCAGCGAGTTCAGAGTCTCAGAGGATGATGCGAACACCGTGGATCATGGCTCAGAGAGGTGGCTTTCTGGGAGCCCCAGCCAAAGGGAGGGCTGAGTGGTCACGTGGGAGGCTGCGTGACACACGCAGTTAAGGCTGCGTGAGCGAGTCTGTCTTAAATACTGTGAATATTTATCACTCCCCATGGGGGCCTGAATCATATGCTCTGGGGCCTGGGGAAGGATGATTTTGCAGAACAGACCTGGTGTGGGGTCATGTCCTGACCCCTGCCTCTGTCCTCGCGGGCCAGATGCTTCTCTCCCCTTCTGCTGCGGGCTCTAGAGATAGTCATTTCATCTGACTCATAAAACTGGATGAGGTCACAGCTCAGAGGGGGAAAGTGACCTGTTAGGTCACGCAGCTTGGAAGCATCCAAGCTGGAGTCCTGGTTTGTCCACAGAAGTACATCCTGCCACTGGGCGTGCTGGGCTGTGGTCCAAAGTTGCCATTCTTGCCCTAACTCTCCATTCTCTGTCTTCTGGCAGCCTGGGCTCTCTTTCCTCTCTCTCTCTCTCTCTCTCTCTCTCTCTCTCTCTCTCTCTCTCTCTCTCTC